GCGGAGCAACTAGGCCCGTGAGCCACAACTACTGAGCCTGCGTGTCTGGAGCCTGTGCTCCACAACAAGAGAGGCCGCGATAGTGAGAGGCCCGCGCACCGCGATGAAGAGTGGCTCCCGCTTGCCACACTAGAGAAAGCCCTTGCACAGAAACGAAGACCCAACACAGCAAAAATAAATAAATTAATAAACTCCTACCCCCAACATCTTAAAAAAAAAAAAAGATTAAGATAGGACTTCCCTGGTGGCACAGTGGTTAAGAATCTGCCTGCCAATGCTGGGGACACGGGTTCAAGCCCTGGTTCAGGAAGATCCCACATACCGCAGAGCAACTAAGCCCGTGCGCCACAACTACTGAGCCCGTGTGCCACAACTACTGAAGCCCGCACACCGAGAGCCCATGCTGTGCAACGAGAAGCCACCGCAGTGAGAAGCCCGCGCACTGCAACGATGAGTAGCTCCAGCTCGTCGCAACTAGAGAAAGCCCGTGTGCGGCAATGAAGACCCAACGCAGCCAAAGATTAAAAACAAACAAAAAAAATACCTTAAAAAAAAAAAAGATTAAGAAGACATCTCTGCTCCACTGGACCCTTCTCTGATCTCCTCCCTCCCCACCACGGGCTGGGTGGGCTGGGTCTGGGGCCTCCTCTGGTCCCCACAGCCCCCTGGGGCTTCCCACCAGAGTGCTCATGGGCTCTCCAAGCACTTTTGCTTTTACACTTCAAAACCCTTCTCATATGCATTATTGTAACTTCCTATTCAAAGTACATCTCCCCTTCTAGGCCCCGAGGGCACAAAGGGCAGGGCCGGGGGCTGTCTGGGCCGTGGTTGCTTCCCTAGCCTCACTCCTCACGGGGCCCAGGGCAGGAAGACATCCCTCTGGTGAATGGACAGGTGGCTGCCAGGACCTGGGGTGGCTGCTCCAGTTCCTGCCCTTCGTGTTCTCCTGCTGCTGCTCACGGTGGTCAATCTCCAGCAAGTGCTGCTTCATGCAGCTGGTGATCTCCAGGCCCAAGTGCCAGATGAACACGCAGCTGCAGAGGCCAAGGAGGGATGTGGAAGAGGGAGGAACAGTGAATATGGAAGCCATCTGACCCCAGAGCCACCTGGTTCATCACTGCCAAGACCTTATTTCCTGGCCCGGAAAACAACCCTCATCAGCTTAGCACAGGGCTCCGGACCAAGTCAGGTCTACACCCTGGGAGGGGTCCAGGGCATCCCAGCAAACCAAGGCTGCTCTGAAGACCCTGAGACCCAAGGAAGGGGGCTGTGAGGAAGGAGTGTAGTATTGATAAACTGAGGAGAGCGTCAAAAGGGACTTCCTTGGATACCAACCATGTGCTAAGGAACTTATGTCATCTCATTTGACTCTCACCATACGATTTTCAAGGTAGATGGGGTCATCTCTCTTTTACAAAGTCAGAGAGGGGAAATATAAGTGGCAGAGCTAGGATTTGAACTCAGGGCTGGGCACACACTATCCGAGGAGAGTAAGCTGGCATGCTCAGAGAGCTCTCTGCACAGGCAGGCCGTGGGCATGGGGTTCCGGTGTCTGAGCCCTTGCTCTCCCAGCAGGATAGGTCCCACCCACTCCCAGAGGGAGGCCCAGCTGGGGCAGCCTCCAGGCCTTTCCCACCTGTCTCCGGATACTGTGATCAAGTGACGACAATCGTAGGTGAACTTCATGCCGGTGACGATTTCTGCAAGCAGAGCAGAGAAGCCATGCTGGCCTTCTGAGCCAGAGGCTGGGCTGGGGTAGGTGGGGAGGAGTCCCAAGCAAGGAGGCAAACCCACCTGAATGGCCAAACATCTTGGCAACGCACTCCCCGGAGTAAAAGTCAATCACCGAGATGCTTTTGTCAGAGCAGCTTGTGGCCAGGAAGGTGCCTGAGGGGTCCACATGGACCTGCCGAGAAGAGGACCCACGTGACACTTGGGCTGCCTCCTTCTGGAATAGGCCTGGGTCTCAACACACAACCCCACTAACTGAGGAACGCCTTGTGCTGGGCGCTTGGCACATGGACTCAGGTAACCCTCACAACACACACCATGGTAGGCAGAAGCTCCTGCTCCCATTTCACAGGTGAAGAAATTACCAACCACAACAATGGCACTAATGGCAGCCAGGCCCTGTGCTAAGAGCTGTACGTGTGTGAACTTATTTCCCCCACAGAACCCTGTGATAGAGGCAATTTTTATTTGCATTTTACACATGATGAAACAGGTTCGAGACGAGATGACATTTGCCCAAGGTCACAGTCAGCCCGAGGCAGAGCTGTAAGAGGGTCTGACCCTGGAGCCTGAGCTCATAACTCCCCTAGTCCAGAGGCTCTTGAGAAGGTCCCCACCTCATCCTGGATAACATAGACAGGGGCAAGCCTGGAGAGGCCTCTCTGATTCCTCCCACCACTCTCTACTGCCACTCACAATGGAAGCCACTTAAATGTCCCCACGTGGGGAAGGATTCAGTAAGTAAAGGTAGAGCAGTCAGGGCCAGCCCTGGCTCCCAAGCACCCTTGGTCAGCCAGGCCTGAGTAGATGCTGGCCGGCATGTGATCCTTTCATCCCTCCGATCAGGTGCCAAGGAGGACCCAGGTCTCAGGAGGCCCAGCAGGGCAGGGGACAGACAGGGGGGCCTTGTGTGTGGGTGTCCGTGTACGGTTTTCACCTGGGGCCCCAGCTCCTCACCTTCAGCAGGGACCCTTCATCACCCTGGGAGCCCTTGTAGCACTTCTTCTGCTTCCCGTTCATGGTGTTGTAGACTCTGGGAAGGTGAGAGCAGAAGTGGCTAACATGGCCCTGCCCACCACCCTCTCTTGCTCCCTTGTTCCAACCTTACCTGCTGCCCTCCTCTCCCCTGGAAGCCCCCAGTACCTCCTGTCCCCCACCCGATGCCTGGACTGAAACCCCGTATCAGGGAATGAGACCCTGTCTTGGGCTGAGGTCACAGAGGTTACGTCTTGGGGTGTCCACTGAGTTAACATCCATCTCCCTGCCACACAGCGAGCTGAGTGCCTGGCACCCAACTTGAGTGAGCAAATGAAGTAGATGGAGAACCTCTCTGCACATGCTTATTCCTCCACATCCTTCCCAGTTTAAGCTTAGATGTCCCTTCCAGCGACCCCAGGTAGGGTCGGATGTCCTCCCAGGGCCCCCCAAAGCCCCTGGGCTCTCTGCATCCCAGCCCTGACCACTCTGTGCTGTCACTGTCTGGTCAGTCTGTCTTCTCCTCCACTGCACTGTCAGCTCCACGAAGGCAGGGCCTGTGACTCCCCCACTGTCCCTCCCAGACAGGAGCTCAGGGAACGAGGATGAGTGAGTTTATGAGCCACATCAGCAGCTCTCAGTTGCCCCACACAGGCTCCTGAGATCTAGGAGAACCCTCTGTTTGACCTGGAGACTAGGCCTGGGTGAACCCAGCTCCTAAGAAACACCCACTGGGTCCCACCACTCCACCCAGCTTCTCAGGGACCAGGTGAGCAGGGGGAGGAAAGCAGAGCGCTCATGAGAAGACAGACCCAACCAGGCCCCACTTAGTCTGGCTGACTAAGAGTGCAGGGCAGTTCCTCACCTTACGTTGCGGTCCTGGCAGGCCACAGCCACGTACTTCTGGGTAATGTCAATGTCCATGTCATACAAGGTGGTCTTCTCTGCCACGTGGTGGGTACGGACAAAGTGTAGTCCATCTGAGGCCTGGCAGGGCAGGCAGGGCCTTCAGAGGATACCCCTGACAAGCCCCCTACCCAGCTCCCAAGGAGGCTGCCCCACTCTACCTGCTGGGCACTGCGGAAGTAGATGCTCTTGTCTGCCCCACAGCTGATCATCTGGATGTCCTTGTGGCCTGGAGGAGGAAGCAGTGCCTTAGGCAGGGCTGGGCCACTGCTGGGCCCAACTGGGGCTGGGGATCCTAGCTAGGGAACTCTACTATAAGGGCACTCCGCTGGGGGTCAGAGAGGGTTTCCCGGAGGAGGTGAGGTGAGTGCTGGGTGCCGGTAGGACTCTGTAAACTGTGAGCTCTGTGTGAGGGGGGCACAGATGGTGCAGTGGGCAAGGCAGGAATCTGCAGAGCAAGAGCAGACAGGGAAACAGAAGCCAGGGACACAGCAGGGGCACCATGTTTAATTTGGGATTTGGAGAGGTGACTCTGGCCTCACAATGGAGGCGTCAGTGAAGCAGGGAGCAAGAGGAGACAGTCAGACCACTGGGAGGCTCACACCATCAAGAAGGATCAGAGTATCCACACAGGGGCTTCCCTGGCGGTCCAATGGTTAGGACTCTGCGCTTCCACTGCAGGGGGTACAGGCTCGATCCCTGGTCAGGGAACTAAGATCCCGCAAGCCATGCGGTGCAGCCAAAATAAAAAGGACTATCCACACAGACTTCGGGCCAGGTCCTGTGCCACATGCCTCCCCTTCCTGACTGTCACCAGCCACTTGTACAAATGTGAACCCAGGGGCTCAGAGTCACACAGTCCTTGTCCCAGGGTGCAGAGAGTCAAGATGGGGCCAGGGCTGATCCCAGGCATTCTCTGGTTAAACACTGTGCTCTGAAGCCAGGCTTCCTCTCCGAGCCTCAGCTCCCATCTGTTCAATAAGCCTGTATCAGCCACTGCCCCGTGGAGTGGTATGAAGCCCTTGGGACAGTGGCTGCTACCTGGTAAGCAAGATCGATGTTCTTACTTTTATTCTTCTTTCTTTATAGAATAAGAATAATCACAGCACAAATACCTTGCAGAGTTGTGGTGAGGATGAAGAGACAGAACAAATATAAAACATGTACAACCTTGGTACAATAGACACTGCTCCTTCATGACAGGACATTTGAGAGCACCCAGGCCTGACATACAAGTTAAGATGTTACTCGAGCAGAAGTCACTGGTTTATAGAAGGGAACGAGTCCTATGTTGGCGAGGAATCCAGAGAGGGCCTGCAAGTTACTACTGGTAATGTTTTGCTTCTTAACCTGGGGTGGTGAGTCCAAGTATTTAGCAATATTAGGACTAGGACCAATCAGAACAGGTGCTGGCTATAAACAATGGGTGTGTCTAGTTCAGACCTACTGACTATGAACCTTGATGTGGATATTCATTGTATTATTCTGTAAACTATTCACAGATATTTCTGTTCACTTTTTTGGATATATGTTTCATAGAAAAGAATTAAGAGACTGATTCATTCTTTAGCTGGATAGCTTCAGACAGTTTCCGACTGGCTGGTGCCCAGTTTATATGAACTATCAATGTTTTGAGTGTAACGCCCAGTTGAGTCAGCCCAGCCAGAGCAGGGCTCACAGGACTGGTTTTAGGATGTGCATCCTCTCAGACCGGCTGGGGCTTTAACAGAGGCCCACGCCTTCAGAAGGTGACCTAAAGGACCGACTACTGGGCCACCCCCTTGGCCAGTTATCACCTCTCCTGGATCCAGACCATTCATTAAAGGTGAGGTCACTGCTGGCCAAACTGCTAGATTTACCAATCTATTCTAACTACCTCTACCCTGTGGAATGGGATGGTCTGAACAGTTTTTTACAGGTGTCTGAGAAGTTTGAGCTGATCAGCTTTTGTCAGGTCCTCATCAAGACATAGCAAACGTGTTAACCTGTTTTTGCCCAGCTCCCGACCACCTGAGTTAGACAGAGACAGGGCAGAAAGTGGGGAAGACCAAGGACATTAATACATTCTCAGCCACAAGATTATATGTACAAAACACTTCATAGTCAAGAACTTGGAGTCAGTGGACGTATTCCCTCCATGAATGGATTCTTCTTGAATATAGTTTTGAACATGTTCTTGGGTTCTGATCAGTTAAACCCCCACAGGGCCTACTTCCCCTCCTCTTGGAATCCCTTAGGGCCAGGGATCTCCGTACTGGATCTTTCGAGTCTTGGAGGGATCCCTTCAACTGCCTGGTTGAGCGAGGGCTATAAGGAAGGACAGCCTTATGCAAAATACCAGGCCTGCACCTACTGGCTGTGTGACTCTGGCTGTAAAGTACAGTAACTGCTGGGGCAGTGCAAGGATCACATCACCCAGCACAGAATTAGTCTCCAGCAATTGTCACCGTCATCTATTTTTCAGCCAAGGTCACCCAAACCCATTCCACCTTGGACTGGCATTCTGATTTCTTTCTGCGGACTAGCACTTACCTAATGTCAGTCCTCCTGGATCAGGGGTGGAGGCAGGTGGAGGCTGGGGGCACACGAGTCACACCCAGCCCAAGAGGATACTCCAAAGCTCTGGCACCACCTGCCCTGGAAAGGGCAGGTGCCTCAAGCCAGCACAAGGTAAGTCAGCTACCAATTTCTGCCAAAATTGACAGGAAGAGGGGAAATCTCTTTCCAGCGGCACAGTGACCACTGAGATCCTGCCCACGAGAGAAAGGCACAGCTGACAGAGGGAGAGAGTCCAGGTAACTTTAAAAAATTCAACTTTTGGGGACTTCCCTAGTGGTCCAGTGGTTAAGACTCTGTGCTTCCACTGCAGGGGGCACGGGCTCAATCCTTGGTCCGGGAACTAAGATCCTGCATGCCACGTGGAGCAGCCAAAATAAACGATACTCCAAAAGCATTAAAAAAAATTAGTCTAAAAAAAATTTTTTTAATAAATAAATAAATAAATAAAAATTCCATCTTTGGATCCAGCTGTGCCTGAATCCAGAGCTTGCCTCTCCCTTTCTTCTCTAAGCTAAAGGTGGCTTTCGCTGTTACGTGCAGTCAAAGGAGCCCATCTAATGAGGCACAGGACGCAGAAGGAAAGGGCTCACCAGCAAACTTGATGGCTGTGATGGAGGAGGAATGGTCATCCAGGGTCTGCTCCAGGTTGTAGTTCTTCTCCACGTTCAGCACGTGGATCAGTCGGTCCCGACTGGCTGAGGCCAGCAAGCTCAACCCTGTGGATGAAAAGGGTGCCACTGGGTCTCTGGGAGGCTGCTTGATGGCTTGGCCTCCCAGAGAGCAGTGTGACCGAGCTTTCCTGGCCTTGAAGAAGGAGTTCGGTTTCTTAACTGCAGTCAACTTGCCACAAACCCGGAAAGGGGCCACTCCCCCACTCTGCGCAGTCTTTCCCCAGAGCCCCAAACCCTGGCATTTCACATCCCTTGCCACCAGCTCCTGCAGGATGAATCTTGATGTACACGTGGACACTCCTCCACTTGTGCCCACACCAGACATTCCAGCAGAGCCCAGCATTCCTCCCTACCAAGTCCAGCTACTTGGCAGCCACGTAAGGCCCTGCCAATTTCTCAACCTCCCCAAAACACTGCCCCCTCACTCTCTGAGCTCTGGCTACACGAGCCTCATCTAGGCCCTACTGACCACATGCTGCCACCTTTCCTTCAGCCACTGGACCTTCGTGCTGGCCCCCTCAGACAGTGCCTAGCCGGGACACCTGCTATGTCTGAGGCCTAACACATGACCTGAGGTGGAGCGGAGCTCGGGAGAGGTGTACTGAATGAAAAGAAATTTAAAGAAAATTTGGTGGGGCAGAGGGTGTGGGGGAAGGAAGAGCATGGGAACGCACATTAACATTATCAGGACATAACTCCACCTACATTATATTCCTGCCAAAAGTGTATCATCGGAATCAAATCATGAGAACAACAAACCCAAATTGAAGGAAATTCTATAAAATGACTGATCTATATTCTGCAGAAAGCCAAAGTCATAAAGACAAATTAAATAAGGCTGTGGAAATATTCCAAAACAAAGGTGACAGGAGAGCCACAACAACTGAAATGTGAACCTGGACTGGATAAACAAAGGTGCTATAAAGGACAGCATTGGGACAACTGGCAAAATGTGAATAAGAACCCAAGACAGATGACAGATTTGATAAGATGCACATTTGATAAGTGCACTGTGGTCATGTAAATAGATGTCCCCCTTCCTAGGAAATGCTCACAGAAGCATTTAAGGGTGAAAGCGCAGCATGCCTGCAACTTACTCTCAAGTAGTTTAGCAAATAATAATAATAATAATATACATGCTTTAATAATAATAATACACATGCTATTATTTTATTACAAGTGTATATATACACAGGTGCGCAAATACACAGAAATGGAAAGAGGGGAAGCAGATAATTCTGTCACAGGTCAGACAGGATTTAAAAGAAAAAACTTGGGGAGCCTGGGTGAAGAGGCTACAGATATTCATTATAATATTCTTGCAATTTTTCTGTAAGCGTCAAACTTTTTCAAAAGAATATGTTTGACTACTGATCTATCTTTATCTTCTCCAGCAGAGGAGGAGCTCATTCATATATTCACTCATTCAACCTTCACCTCTTTAGCCTGAGCTCTGTTCGGGGCACTGGGGACCAGGGTAAACAAGTCGAGTCTTGCCCTGTCATTTACGGTCCCACCAGACACCAACTACTCCTCCCTGTGGCTCTGCCAGGCAGGCTGCTCCCCTGCCATGGGCTCACCTGTCTCAGGCTTGGAGTACTCCAGGCACAGCACCTCAGCATCATGGGCCTCCACCTTGACCAGCTCGTCCATGAAGTGCAGCTCGTGGATCCTGAGAGATACACACTGCCTGCTGTACCCTGCCTGGCGCCCCCACCCCTCAGCTCCAGACGCTCTGCCACTACTAGAAAAGGTCAGAGCAGCCAGGTAGGTGACGTGGAGAACACCCTACCCTGGCCAAGTAGTCTACAGGTGCCCAACCAGTTTCTCATCTAAAACCTGCCAAGCCTGCGAGAACCTCAGCGGGCACCCCGCCCCTTCTGTCCATGGGTAACACCTAGGATGGTCTTCTGGGGTTAGGATAGGGATATATCAGAGGTGATTCCTGGGGCTGGGGCAGGGGTCAGAGGTCATACTCAAGGATAGGACCCATGGGTGGGAACATTTGATTCCAATCTCTCATTCTTTTTTTTTTCTTTTTTCTGGTTGCACTCTGTGGCTTGTAGGATCTTAGTTCTCTGACCAGGAATTTAACCCAGGCCCTCAGCAGTGAAAGCGTGGAGTCGTAACCACTGGACCCCCAGGGAACTCCCTCTCATTCTTAAAGAGTCTCAGATCCAGACTTTCCTCACATTCTTGCCAAATGAAATCAGACAACAGGTCATCCAGGACTGAAATAAGAAATAATAATTCCAGCTTCTCCACTCTCTACCCGTGTGACCTTAGCCAAGCCACTTGGCCTCTCTTTCCTCAGGGAACCCATCTGAAAGTGGAGTGAATAACAGCACCTACGCCAGAGGGTCGGTGAGAGGATTAAATCAGTCAATACCCATGGTACTCAGGCCAGCGGCCAGCCTGGGGGAAGATCGCTATGCCCACGTTACCTCTCCTCACTGTTTTCACCGTTGATAGCCAAGTGCTGTCAACGGGAGCAGCCCCCTGACACGTTCAGTTTGCCTCATGCAGTGACTGACATCACAACAGTTGCCAACATTTAAAAACCATGGAATTTCACAGAAAAAGTCTGCACTTTATGTTCTTCTTAGACAATGGGAAGATATGACAACTTGGAGGCTATACTACTGGTGCTGCGTGGTGGCTGCCCCGTTATGGGGCACATGCTCTTCAGTGCCCCAGTCCCTCCCATTCTGCAACAGCTCCACTACCCAGGGGGTCATAGCTGACATTCGCCACCTTAAACCTGATCCCTGTGACAGAACTCATATTCTGTCAGCACCTATTGGGCCTGTCACATCTTGAAAAACCTCTGCAGGGTGGTAAACAGCCCAAGCCCTCAGATGTCCCATCCTCTGGTCCCTCTCTCAGGGCCACCAGAAATGCCAAGCTCCAGCTGGCATCTTCTCTGATGGTTCAGCAGTGGTACCATGTGGCTGAGAAGGTGTCACCATGCCCGAGAGTCATGCAAGTTTGCCTGTCCACCCTGCAGGCAGAGTTCACATGGTCCAGCTGCCGAGGCCCCGGTGGCTACCCTGATCTACCCTGAGCTAGCCCTTCTGGAAGCCCCTTCTAAGCTTATGTTCCCAGGGGTGGCTGGCTACCAGATTGCTACTCACAGTCCCTCATTCCCAACAGGCAGCTGGAGGTGCCAAGGCCAGGGCTCCTCCCCACTGCCCTTAGTACCTGAGCCCAAGCTGGGAGATGTACACTAGACAACGCCAGGGCCCACTTGCCTCAGATTTCCACTTCGGTCGCCTGAAGCCAAGTGTTGGCCATCAGGACTGACCTGCATGACTCGTACCCCAGCTTTCATGTCCACAGGCATCCCATTCTCACTCCCCCGGTCTGGGAAGTGTGACATGTTCTGCAGGTGCTGGATGTCATTCTCCACATACACAACCTTCAGCAGGGTCTGCAAGCGGGAAAGGACTTAGGTCAGTGCTATGAGAAGCTCTGGAGCACCTCTGCAATTTTTTCACCTGATAGTCTCCCATTCTTCATTAGTAACAGAATTCCAATTCTGACCTGGGAGCTTCACCACTCAGAATAATAACTATGTTTCCCAGACTCCCTTGCATCTAGATGAAGCTGTGTCAATAAATTCTGGTCAATGAGGTGTAAAGCAAGTGAAAACTCTTCTGCTTCTTTCCCACTATCCTGCTGCCTGGAACTTGGATGTGATGACTGGAGCACCAGCAGCCATCCTGGACCACGATGACAAGGGCCACTCCTTCAAAATGGGCAGAGTGGAGAGCTGGACAGCTCTTGGGTCTCTAAGGGCTTCCTACAGCTGCCAAAACAGCCTGGACTAGTTACCTCTAGACTATTTTTACAAGTCAGAAAATCAAACTTTTACCTCGCTTCGGGTTTTTCTATTGTGTGCAACCAAATATAACATGGTTATCACAGATGCAGAAGAGAAGATGTTAGTATGGCAGGGGGACGTGGGGCACTGGTGAGGGGAGTCGTAAAGGAGCATTTGCTATACACACCCTGCATTAAGAGCTTTTTTTGTTCCAGCCACACTAACCTCTTTTGGGTTTTCCAACTCATCAAGCTCTTTGCAGCCATAAGGCCTTTGTCCCTTGGTGTAGAACACTCTCTCCTCCCCTCTTTATTCCTCCCAATCCTCCATATCTCAGTTCAGTTATCTCCTCCTCCAGGAGGCTGCCCCTAATGCCACAGATAAAATCAGATGACTGACTTTAGATATATCTTACTCATACCTTACAACTTTCTTTCATGGTGCTTATTATGCTTGTGATTATATCATAATTTGTGCAGTTATTGGCTGGCTGCCTCCCCCTACTAGACTGTAGGTGTCACGGGGCCAGGAGAAGGGTCTGCCTTAGTCACTGATATGTCCCCAGCATGCAGCACAGCACCTAGCACTGACCTTAATAACTATCTGTAGAATCAGTGAATGCATGATTCAGGCCTCAGCTCCTCAGAGAAGCTCCTTCACTGACCTAGCAACACCAACCATTTCTTCAGTAAAGTGTTTCTCCCCAGCCTCTCATCATGGCTCTCTTTGGGATCCTGCCAGCACCTCCACCTCAGGCTTCACCACGTGGCAGCTAGCTAGACAGGAGACACCCCTGCCTGGTTTGGCCCATCAGGTGCTCTCCCAGGGAGTTCTAACTCAAGACTTGGGGAGCAATTTCTTCTTTGTTGAGTATGTCGGGTTGCCTGGAGTGGCTGTGTCCACACACACCGAGACAGCAGGAGCTGAGTGGTAAAGAAAAGCAGAGAGGACCACAACCAAGACCCGACACAGCCAAAAATAAAATAAATAAATAAATAAATATATATATATATATATATATATATTTTTTTTTAAAAAGCAGACAGGAAAGACCATGTAACCTAGAAAGAAAGAGAGGGAGAGAGAGAGAAATGAGATAGGAGACAGAGAGTGA